GGGGAGAGAGGGAGCGGCCATGATCAAGAATTTACTCATTTGGTTTAAAGTCAGCAGTGAGAGATACGTTAGAGAACTGCTAGCAGTTTTGTCATAGTACCCGGGTACTGCGACAAACGGCTCTGCATCTTTCTTCAAATTAACTTTCTTGTAATAACAATGTGAATTGTCTGTGAAGCACATTCTTTGATAATATCCGGGTTAGCTAATGTGACACAGGAGTGTCAAGTACACGGGATCATGCGGAAAGTACATCCGTCGTTCGCCGTAACGGCTCTGCCAAGCGCCAAGTTCAGCCTCTGCAGCCTCTGCCAGCTCTCGTCATAGCGCCCTGCTGGGTAGGCAACATATTTCGTGTAGTGCACGCGTGTATGGCGGGGTGGCCTACCCCGAGTCTCGCAGGCGCCAAGCGCCAGCGTTTGCCGAATGAATCTGACAAAAACGGACGTACTTTCTGGATGATCCCTGTGGAATGCTCGCCAAGGATCTCACAACGTTCGTCCAACACCCGGACAATGGCAAGAGGCGGGGAAAGGGATGGGGGGGGGGGGGGATTCTACGAAGGAAATACCAACCCGGGTGGGTGATCGGGGCGGGGTGTTTACCGCGCTCAGCCAGCTCCCGATGACGGCAAGGCGGGCCGAGGTCGGCTCAGGTTGCCCGTCTCCATGGCGATGATGAAGCACGCGACGGCTGGGGGCGCGGAAGGCACGCGGGCGTCGGGCCGGAGGCGTCGTCGAGCCATCGTGGCCTGCTCTCTCAACAGAGACCCGCATCTCCTACCAACTGACTGACGACGACGGCGGCAAGGGCCACGATATTCCCGCGGCCGTGGCCACAGGCAGCTGGAGCATTGTCGCCCGTGTCGCTAGGGTCCCTAGTGGCCCCGTGGCCCCCATCGGGCCCTATCCTAGCCCTACCACGCGCCCGCCGCGGCGGGCCGGGCATCCTTACAGCTGGCAGTGCTTGGCCGTGCCCCGCCGTGCCCGCCGCGGCGGGCCGGGCATCCTTACAGCTGGCATTGTGCACGATGTTTACGTTCGCTGAGACAGTCTCCATGACAACGTCGTGCCGCCACCCCCCGCTCCCCCGTTCCCGCCGCAGCGTCCCCACCACCTTCGAGTGCCCTACCCCTCTTCCCCTTTCTCTCGCCTCCCCTCCAACCCCTTCCAAAAGTTCCCCAAACGACCCTGACAACGGACGCAGTAACGTTTCTCGCTAAAACTCCCCTCCCCCTTCCCCTCCCACCACCACTCCCTGACTCTCCACCTCCTCCTGTCCCCTCGCGGCTTTTCGTGATTGTGAGCCACCGCGATCGACTGCTGCTGGTCTGGTGTCCGCGCGAGTAGGCCGCTGCACGTGTAGAGGGGAGATGCCTGGTGGTGGAGCTCGGGGGTGGGAAGGGAGAAGGGGGACAAAGGGTTCCAAGGCCTCCTGCCTCAAACATAAGCACAGGGGAACTGTAACAAAAAGAAAGGTGATGATGGGTCAATAATAGCAAGGGGGCATACTTGGGCAACATCGAAAAAGTTTTACTCTTTACCATTAAGAAAAATATCTCAAAAATTTAGAACATCATTAGTAATTTTAATTTTCAAATTATGGACTAAATTAGCTTGTTAAAAAAATGTTATTTCAAAATTTAGTAACTTTACGCCTTGTTTCATGGAAACATTTTTCGTAGCCCCGAAAATATCTGCTAAAATATTCAGGGTGATGAACAAGGCAAAGGCTCCCCCTGCTCTGCAACACCCGCTTGGGCTTGGGCTCCCGCTCCGGCGGACCGGGCCCTTGGCCTCGCCTTTGGCCCTGAGCGTGTGGCACAGATTGCGTCGTTCCCCGCCCGGCCCAGCCCAGAGGGTGAGGCAGCCCAAGGCCACTCTGCGGCGCTAATGGAGAGGCTGAGCGTTCGGGGCTAAGGGCGCGCAGAGGGACCCGCCAGCCACCCGCCACCCCCTGTTGTTCTAACCCCCCCAGTCATGTCTGATTTCATTCGCAGGCATATCGGAGGACGGCGGAGGCGCCTGCCGGGAGGAGCAGCTGGAACAGGGGTGAGTAACAAACACTTTGAGCGTCCCCGACGCCTGCCCCCTTGAGAGGGCCAAAGCCGCGTGTACCACCTCGGTCAGACAGGGCTAAATGTGTGAGCCAGCAGTTTAGGTCGTTGGACACTATCTTCCCACTAAAATGACTTCTCGGATATCTCAGTGTCTCTGCTATATCCACTGACAGCACGATGCCGTTTAAAGCGCGGAGAAAAAGTGGCCGACGAGATAGGCACCCTTTGGCATCCGGTGGCATCACATTTCCCACGGTCTAGTGTAAAAGACGCTTCGTCGAAACGAAACTGTACCGAAGCCGTATGCCGCGGTGTCGGCCGATACCGTCCCGGGGAGGACGGATGCACTTATTCCACCTGCTGCAGAATCACTTTGGAGGCGCGGGAGGGTGGGAGCGCTGCAGGGCTACGCGACCGATAAGGGGGAGGGAGGGGGAGGGAGGGGGCTCCTCCGCGGGGCGCCGCGCAGGTAGGCAAGCCCGCGCCACACGCCCGTGCAGCGGGACGGCCTACCGCCCAGGTGGCCCAGGGGGCCCGGGGGGCCAGGGGGGCCTCCCCGTCCACGTGGTCCTGCTGCTCACTGCAGCGCGAGCACTTCCGCCCCATCCCGCAGCAGGCGGGTGGCCACCCGGGTCGAACCGAGCTCCTCTCTAGTTGGGCTGGGCGGGCGCCGCGGAGGGTAGGTCCGGCGGGGGCGGCGAGGGTCGCGGGCGCCACGGGGCTCTACCCCGCGCGCTCCCTGGCGCCCCGGGGTATGGCGCAGCCCCCCTAGCGCCGCGCAATATACACTCGAGATGCAGAGGGGTGGAAGACGGACGCTGCAATGGTGCTTCCGCCCAACGGCCCGGCTCCGGCCCGCCCGGGCCGCGCCTGTGGGCTGGCCGCCGCGGTGGTGTCACACGGGTAACTGACCCGCGCAAGACGACCGACAGTTATCGCACTTGCCGTCAGAGGGCCTTTCTCCCCCCTCTCCCCCCTTGCCCCCGCGTTTCTTCCCTCTCCACGACGCCTTGACCGCCATCCGCAAATTGTTGTTTAAGTTTCGGTGGCGTTCACACGGTTGTTATTTCCGCCCGCTGCTCGAGTTCGGTCATTCCGTCGCCGTCCCGCTGCCCCACCCGCCCCGGCCGGCGCTATGCTCGCGACCTGGACCCGAGGGGGGGGGCTAACTTGGGGGGCCAGGATCAGGCCGGAGAGACCGCCCCGCTGCGCCACGTCGGCACGGAGCTGGCTCGGGGAGCTGGCTCGGAGCTGGAGGCGCTTTGCGGCGCGGGCCGGGCGCACGGAGGCGTGGCGTGCGGAGCGGTGCGGAGGCGTGGCGCGGCGGGGACGCGCATCGCTAAGCCGCTCCGCCCCGCCCCGCTCTGCTCCGCTCGCTTAACCTCAGCTTAGCTACGCGTTGGCTTTGCTGCGCTGTACACGATCCGCGAGTCGAGCGCCGCGGAGTGCGCGCCGCGCGCGGCACGCCATGGCACCGCGGCGTGGCGTGGCGTAGCCTGGCGCCCCAGTCCAGTCCGTGTGTCTGCCCCCCCCCCCTCACTCTCAGCCCGGCCGCCGCGCACTTTCCCGACGACTGATCGGCTCGGGTCGGCTGCTTCGCGTCTGCGCTACTCCGCGACGCGGCGCTCGGCTCGGCTGTGGCGCGGCGGAGTGGGGCGCGGCGGCGGGGCGCGAGGCGGGGCGCGGGGTGGGGCGCGGCGGTGGGGCGGGGCGCGCTATCCCAGTCCGAGTCCCCGTCCCGGCCCCAGCCCGTTCCGTTCCCAGTGTGCCGCGTGATCCCGGGCCGGTTACACGGAGAGCGCGCCGCCGGTGCCTCCCGCGCCACAGTGAGACGAGACGCTCAGCCCAGTGAGCAGAGAGCCCAGGCAGTCGGGCCTGCTGGGGGCGGACGCACCCGCAGCGTGTTGTGAGTGTGTCAGTGCCGTGTGGTGTGCCAGAGTGCACGAAGTGGCACGGAGTGGCACGGAGTGTGTGCGCCCAGCCCAGCCCCCCCTGCCACCGCCCAGTGGATACCGTACACCCGGCCCAACCCGTCCGCCCGCACCGAGACCAAGCCCAGCCCAGCCTCTTGGATTAGCGACGACGCGATACGCCCAGCCTTAAGTAAGTTGCGCTGGGCGACGCCTGCTCTTGCCGTCGCCGCCGCCGCCGCTGGACGCCGCGGACGGCGCAGGCAATACACCAGAGAGGGAGAGCGAGCGAGAGAGCGCGATAGCCAGGCGGAAGGGGAGAGCGAGTGGGAGAGCTGGATGGAGAGAGCAAGGCGGCAGAGAGAGGGAGAGCGGCGAGGGGAGAGGTTAGGGGCGACGCCAGGACAGGACCCAGCCACCCTTTGATGTCAACAGAACGAGCTAGCAGCGCGGAACAGCGCCCAGCCCAGCCCGGGTGGGGCGCAGGGCCCCCAGGGCAGGGGGCTGTGCTGTGCGCCCAGGGCGGCCCGGGGACCGACGTGACGGCCCGGCGAGGCTCGACGAGGCTCGGCGAGGCGAGGCGGAACGGGGCCGCGAGCGGAGCTGGAGGCTCAACAACTCCAGGCTGTGACACGAGGCTGACTTGCCCCTGCCCCATTCGCAGCAGGAGAGGCTCGGGCAATCGCGCGCGCGCGCGCTCGCCGTCAGGGTGACACCCGCGTGACGGGCGGCTGGTCGCGACCTTGCGGGGCGTGCGGCGGGGCGTGCCGTGGGGCGTGCTTGGAGCGTATTGACATGACAGCAGGCGCACGGCGATAACGCACTCGGCGGCCAGCACGCCAGCAGGGGACCCAGGACCCGCGCGCGCGTGTGAGGGAGGAGGGGGGCAGGGGGGAGGAGGGCACGGCCCCTGCTTGTTGTCCACCAGCTGTCCAGTCAGGTGGTGCGGTGACGCTCGTCCGAGACGTCCTCCGCCGCCGGCTGCCCTTTGCTGACGCCGCACATCGTATCCTCTCCTCGCTCCAGCACTCTGACTCTCTTTCTCTCCCCCCCCTCTCTCTCACACACACACCACACACACTCACACGCAAACACACACATGCACACGCACGCACGCACACACACACGCCCTCTGGCGAGCTGAGCAGCGGAGCCCGCCGAACCGGTCTCTCGTTCAAAACAAATGCCAATACCCACTCACAGCCGAACGCGACGCAAAGTGTGGAAGTGTGTGGTGCGGCACTGGGCTCTCGCTTGACCGCTTGACTGCGCGGTGCCGAGCCGAGCCGAGCGGCGCGCATGTGCAGCACGCAGTCCGTGGGACAGCCGTGCGCGGGGCACGGCGGGGCACGGCGGGGCACGGCCAAGCACGTAGGAGCACGCCCCCCTCGTGCGGCCGGCCCGGTCCCGGTGTAGGTGCCCCGGACGCGGTCCTCGACAGGAGGGCCGCCCGTGTCCCGAGGCGCCCGTGGCCTTGATAGCGCTCGGTCGGTTATCGATACTCCAGGCCGGTCTCCGCCGGTCCCCGCCGGTCTCGCCGGTCGCACACAGCAGCTCCGTACTTTGCCTTTGTAGTACCCGGACAGCGCGTCGTGCGTGGCGTAGCAGCCGGCCCAGCCAGACGGCCCTTTTCTCCTTTTAACGGATTTCGACCCGAAGCGCGGCGGCGGCGGCGCGCGGTGAGTTGCCGTCGTCGTCGTGTTCCACTTTTCTTGTTTCGGGGCGTCCGGCCGGAGGGGACAGGGCGGGACGGGGCGGGGCGTGGTGAGCTGAGGGGGGCGTCGGGGCGCCCCCCAGAGCCGAGCGATCGGGGAGATGAAACTGGTCGCAGGAAAATGAAGCGGGAGAGGTCGGGCCAAGGAGGATCTGGCTGGAGGCTGGAGTCAAAGGGGCGGGGTGGTGCGCTTCTGCTGCTCGGCTGCTGCACACAGCAGACTGTTCATATCGCAGTCCGGCCCACAGTCAAGCCGAGTACGCCACGGAGCACATCCGCGGGGCGTCCAAATAAGGCTCTTCAGGGACGGGCAAAATCGGGATCGACGGCCGACTCGTAAGGCCAGCTAGGGATGAGGGGGAGGATGTCTAGCAGGGGCCGACTGGGGGTGGCAGGGAACAGCACAAGGGACTCCAAAGGGCCCCCGTGGACCGGCTGCTGGCCGGCTGAGCTACGGCGCGACGGGCCGGCCTGCCGGGTGGCACCGGGGTAGGGTGGAGGAGACCGGCTGCTGGCCGGCTGGCCGACTGGCCGCCCGCTCGCCGGGGGGAACAGCGTTCGAATGATCACCGAGAAAGTTGGCAACAGTGAAGACTCCGCAGCGCCGCACACGGCGTGGCGCGCGCGGCCCGGAGCATAGCCGTGCCCGCCATTCAGAGGTGAACATATCCGCACAGTCGGTGGGAGTGGGCGAGCGCGGCGAGCGGGCGGAGCCGAGTGAGCGCTGCCATATACTCCATCGTGGGGCGTGGAGCCTACCCTGCGCGTGCCTCACTGACGCCGGGGGAACCCACAGCGGGGCGTGGCGCAGGTGTTGCCTTGTGACCATTACGCCGATGACGGGTAGACATACTACTCACCGGTTGCCTAGCCAAACAAGCGCGCCTGCCAAGTGACGAGTAGGCATCCCACGCACCGATGTGGTGCACCTTGCCTGTCCACGGGCGAGCGCCTGCTAGGTGACGCGTGGGGAGCAGGCATCCTACGCACCGGTGTGTGGTGTGTTGCCTATCCACAGACGAGCGCCGGTCAAGCGACGGGTAGGCCTCCTATACGCACCGTTGTGATGCACGTTGCTTACCTACAGGAGGGCGCCTGCCAAGTAATGGGTAGGCATCCTATACGCACCGATGTGTAGCACGTTGCCTATCCACAGGCGAGCGCCTGCCAAGTGACGAGTAGGCATCCTACGCACCGATGTGATGCACGTTGCCTATCCACAGGCGAGCGCCTCACAAGTGACGAGTAGGCACCCTATACGCACCGATGTGATGCACGTTGCC